CCGCGCATGTGGAACATTCCACACCCGGTTCGTCGTGGTAGGGAGCGAGTTGCCGTCGCGAATGTACCAGCTCAGGCCGATGATCACGGCGAGTGTAATCGCTGATGTTTCTTTCTCGATGTGGTGTGGCGGTGTACGCGTTTGAGTGAAGTCATCCTTGACGTTCATGGCCCGAATGAAACCGTCTTCGAGGTTGTCAAGTAGGAGCGCAGGAACAGTCGTGAAGGCACGGCTTTGAGGGTAGGGAATGCCCGCGTTTGAGGGCTGCGCGTGGATGTGGTCTATCACCGGGCGAACCTCGCGGCATTCAAAATCCACGAAATGCATGGGACGGTCTCCAGTCTTGGCTGCTTCATCGTTATCGTTCTCTGTGAAGGTGTCCTTCTTTTCCGCCGCTGTGATGGCGCCGACCTGTTCCCTGTCAGCCTCATAGGAAGGTGCCTCCGTCGGGGCAAGGGCCACTACGATGACCAGTCCGAACCAAGGTCGTACGTAACCCGGTACGATCATGGCCTGACAGGGGTTAACATAGGCTGGCTTTGCGATCCTGTCTTCGGCGACAAACAGAAGACCAATTTTGTGGTTCAACTCCCTCATGGCGATGTTGAGACTTTCGAGAATGATGTAACACTTGTTGGAGCCGGTGGACAGCGACTTATCTCCAGTCGAGCTGAGGAACGTCTCGAAGTAGTGATTTGCAGAACCGAGCGCCTGGCCGGGTTCATACTCTATCCAAATTAGCTGAGGCTCTACGGACTCCATTGGGAAGAGGACAGCACGGAAGTGCTTCCTTGTTGGATGCTGATCGGCAGCGAAGTGACAGAGCTGTCGGCACAGAAGCTTGTGTATGCGCTAGTCGGATAGGTGGCAAGCTGAAGAGCAATATTGCGCAGCATTGCAGTACGAGGACATTACGACCGCTGCCAAGTCGCATTTGACGCATAGAGCTTGAGTTGGAGACTGGCCGGCGATGATAGGCTTCACTTTTGCGGACAATGGTCTTAGACGGCCGAACTTCTTGGGCGCCATAATGTGCTCCGGATTGGTCCGCCGAAGGTCATACAGTTAAGCGGAAGACACGAGCTCTATGCTGTGATATGACAATGGAAACCGTGATGGCGATTAGGCAACGCGGTGGTCAGCTGAAATGGGGATGTGATGACAATGACGAGATGGTAAGCTGAAGAGCTGGTGTGGTCATGGCTGTTGAGAGCAACGGTTGGACCGCAGCCACCGTGGTATTTGCTCGTAGCAAGCGGCGGATAACGCGTCCACATCACTCTGTCCAGTGAACAACAGGTCTAGGAAGCTCATCTGTCATTAGAATCATACCTGGTAAATAAGTACCAGCGGATTTGCAGGTCCTCAGTCGACACGCCTACAATTTCTCGTCTATAGCTTCACGTCAAACATTGACACAGGACACGTATTGCTTTTCTACATATCAGATGGATCCGCCTCTAGGCCTGAACAGCACGTCACCGGGCTTGTGCAAGAACATCACCGCTAGAGTATCCGGGCCGGCTCGCCTTCCATCTGGTCTCATGACGCCGCTGCTAAAGCTACGCTTCTTTTAAGTATCAAGACGAGAAGAAGGGTAGGTCTCGGCGTGCTCGACGTCTTGGCTCGGCAGTAACACACCACAACAACATCCGGTAAATAATGCGAGCCTTTCCTCATTAGAGGCAGCTATATCTAGGCTTGGTCTGAGATAGTTGTTGAATGACATACAGACTCCCATCCAATCATAGAAGCATCAGACGGGCCTGCGGGATGCATACAGAGAGAGAGGCCCAGCTCTTTACGGAAGACGGAAGACCATGATGCAATATGTGTGCTATGCAGGCCCTAGACGTTGTAGTTGCCGACAACACACCAAAAACTGTTAAGTCTTGATAATCAAAACAGCCCTTCTGCCTTTCTGTGATATGTCCACCATTGGCTGCTGCCCCTGATTACTAAGATTTCGGACCCCTTGCAGCTCACTTGCTGTGTTACGTGTAAATGCACAGCACAGCACAGGAACAGGGGTTCAGGGGACGAGCGGTGAGGAGTCGAGGACGAGACGGTGCGGGGCAAAGCATCGCGCTAGGGAGGGCCAAGGTACTGGAGACTTCACCAACGCATAGATAGCGCCTGAAATGTGCGCCTATCATAGGTAGAGGGACAAGTCTTCAAGGGTTGCGGTTCTCCCCGCTGTCCACTCACAAGTGCCCCTCCTTTCAGCAACGAGCTTCACCCACACTTCAACTCCACCCACAAACCTCCAATCCCAAGCCGAGCTTCACCAGAAGATCAAACTCCCTTGGACGTTGAATTTCCCACATCATCTCGATCTTTCCTTTCTGTTTTGCCTGCTCTCTACTGCGCTGTGCGCGTACCATACTGCTTCACGCCCTAGAACTGTCTCATCTCACACACCGACTCCGTCACCATGAGAGGCGAGGTAAGCTTCCATTTCATATTGGCTGTTTGATTCTTTTATGAGGTGCCTCACCGATACCCCTTTTCCCGTGGTGTGGTACAAAGTACCGCTAGGAGCCATCTGCTGTTTGACAAGCAGCTGCAATCATGAATCTCGTGGAGGACAATACATCTACGCCTCATCCAATGCAGGACATCTACCTGAGTTTGGTACTTGAAAAGCCACTTGGGAACATGGCCGTATACGGCGGAGCAAGCCATCACCGCCAGACGTGTTGCCGCCCAAACTTCAAGCTCGCCACGCCGAGCACCGAATCTATCGAGAGACTCTATAAGCTACTGATAGTGCAGCATGACTGACTTGAATATCGTCGTCTTAGATTCTCCACCTCCACCTGGGCCAGGCTGGTACCCAGCTCGGTAACAGCGCCTGGGAACTGTATGACTCTCACACGCCTCACCGCCCTCGACCTTGCTAACGAGCATCTTCCTCCAGCTATCTCCTCGAGCACGGTCTGGGACCTGACGGACGGCCCGACCCCAACGCCAAGGACATTGGCGATGCTGGCTCCTTCGAGACCTTCTTCACAGAGACGGGTAACGGCAAATATGTGCCCCGGTCCATCTTCGTCGACCTGGACCCTTCGCCGATCGACGAGATCCGGACTGGTGCTTACCGCCAGCTGTTCCACCCCGAGCTCCTGATCAGCGGCAAGGAGGATGCTGCCAACAACTACGCTCGTGGCCACTACACCATCGGCAAGGAGATGGTCGACAATGTCATCGACCGCGTGCGCCGCGTCGCCGGTATGTGGTACACTTATGACTGCATCTTTCGAAAAACACACCTTGCTGACACAGAGCTACAGACAACTGCCAGTCCCTCCAGGGATTCCTAATCTTCCACTCTTTCGGCGGCGGCACGGGCTCCGGCTTCGGCGCCCTCCTCCTCGAGCGCCTGGCCGCCGACTACGGCAAGAAGTGCAAGCTCGAGTTCGCCGTGTACCCGGCGCCCCGCGTCTCGACGGCCGTGGTCGAGCCGTACAACGCGGTCCTCTCGACGCACAGCACCATCGAGAACTCGGACTGCACGTTCCTGGTCGACAACGAGGCCGTCTACGACATCTGCCGGCGCAACCTCGACATCCCCCGTCCGAGCTACGAGCATCTCAACCGTCTGATTGCGCAGGTCGTGTCGTCGATCACGTCGTCGCTGCGGTTCGACGGTGCGCTGAATGTCGACCTGAACGAGTTCCAGACGAACCTGGTGCCGTACCCGCGCATCCACTACCCGCTTATCAGCTATGCGCCTGTCATTTCGGCCGCCAAGAGTTCGCATGAGAGCTTCAAGGTTTCGGACCTGACCTTCCAGTGTAAGTCAAACTTTCTCTTTGTCTGTCTGCTCTGCAGAAGTACTGACAAGCGCGATAGGCTTCGAGCCCAACAACCAGATGGTCGTCTGCGACCCCCGCAAGGGCAAGTACATGGCCGTCGCCCTGCTCTACCGCGGCGACGTCGTGCCGCGCGACTGCAGCGCGGCCGTGGCACAGCTCAAGGCCAAGGCCTCCTTCAACCTGGTCGAGTGGTGCCCGACGGGCTTCAAGATCGGCATCAACTACCAGAAGCCCGTCGCGGTCCCCACGGCCTCCCCCGCGGACGGCGGCCTGGCCTCGGTCGACCGCTCCGTGTCGATGCTGAGCAACACGACGGCCATTGCCGAGGCCTGGAGCCGGCTCGACTACAAGTTCGACCTCATGTACAGCAAGCGCGCCTTCGTGCACTGGTACGTGGGCGAGGGCATGGAGGAGGGCGAGTTCAGCGAGGCGCGCGAGGATCTGGCGGCGCTCGAGAAGGATTACGAGGAGGTCGCTGCCGATTCCACCGAGTACGAGGAGGGAGAGGCCGAGTACTGAGTGCGTTTCAGTTTGGTGCGACGGCCCCCTTTTTCCATGTTCCTGGTGTGACGTGTCTCTGAGGGAGCTTACGGTCGTAATTTTGATGATGACGGATTATGAATGATAACTCTCCTACGGGGGATGCTTTGTGCGCGTTTTCCGAGTTCTGAGAGTTTTTGTGCGTTCGGTTCAGGAGATACCAGACCTGGTGCTTGTTCGAGACCTTTGCGTAGTACATTCAGCAAATATATTGCCTCTCCACATGAATTCGGTCTTTTTGTCAATGGTAAATGGCCAATGCTTGCCAGCGCAACCTTGTTTTCTATCGCTAGCAAAACCCCAAGATATCTTCGAAGCGTGACTTTGCTTGTGCATTCTGATTTAAGTCCGTTCGTGCCAGTCTCCAGTGCACACATCGACTCTCCATTTCCACACCACTTTCCCCGTCCTGCTCAACTTCACCTACAATCATTCTCGCAATGTCTAGCATTGATTGCCCTCTGTTTTCCTACCTGAAATCTTCCCACATTCGCCATTGCAGCTCATGCAAAAATGCCGAGCTCCCCTTCGCCCGGCCTCATACGTCCTCCGCACACCACAACTAAACAACACCACAACAAACCGCCCCAAAAAAAGACCTTCTCTTCAACCCTCCTCGTCGCATGTGAGCAAAAGAAACATCTCCCCCTTACAGGTTCGAACTGTAGACCTCCTGATATATCAACTCGTCCCCGGAAGAGGACGTGTAACAGTCAGACGCTCTAGCCAACTGAGCTAAGGAGGAAACGAAATGTGTGGGCTGCCCCTTTCGATGGGGACAGCGGAGCGGTAAACGGGGTTAGGATTCTTCTGCTGTGAACACGCGTGGAGACGTCGAGGGCACAGGACTGGGGGGGTTCCTGACTCGCGGACCGGCAGTCGAGGTCACCATGAAATGGAGACTTTTGGAGGGTTGCGAATGGTATATTGCACCCAGTGCAAAAAAGATATTCACCGCTCATCAGCAGAGACAGCCTGGACTGAGTACGAACATGTGGTAGGCCGGTGGCATGTATCTCCCGCGAAATATGCAAAAGTGTAGTGGCCCCCACCCCTGCCGCCGGTGGTCGATGGAGCAAAAGGAATGGTTCTGCCGTGAAGACGACAGCATCAGGAATTGAGCCCGATGCGGGGGTCGAACCCGCAACCTTGAGATTAAGAGTCTCACGCTCTACCGATTGAGCTAACCGGGCCGAGTCTGTTTCGTTGTGGGATTTTTGATTGTCGAGCGGAGGCGGTATCATGACTCATGGCGACAGGAGTTGCGGTACGGAAGGAGATTTTGGGAGTCCCTGGACGGGTAAATGGGTGACGATGAGTTGGGTTGGGGACGAGTTTGGTGAGATATATATGTTGGACTGATGTTGTCAGACTGGAGAGTGTCGTCATGGTGTGTAGGTTGTAAGTTCTGGATCTGGTGATGGTCCCTCCAGTATTGATATGTCAACCGCATGGACATACCCTGGGTGTCATCAGCTTGCGGCAGTGGACTGTCCAGCCAGTACGAATGTATCCCAGAATCGACGACCGATCCCATATGCCGTGTAAGTACCGAAGGTTGTGATCGATCAGTTTGACAACCGAGTCGCCAAAGTTATACCTCTCCATTCCGAGGAGGCGTGGATGGTGTATGGGGGTATCGTTGTTAAATATGCTTCAAGCTCAGTAACCTCTGCTCAACCTCCGCCATCCTCATTCCCCTCTACCACCCCTTCTCCCCGTCCCTCGAGTCTCTTGCCCTCCTCCGCAATCTTCATCAGTTCCCCAACCCCCACAACCTTATACCCCCTCCGCCTCAACTCGGGCAGAACCCGCCTCAGCATACCGACCGTCCAGCTCCGCCGATCATGGCAGATGATTATCCCCCCCGGCCTGACCATGCTGAGAATATGCCTCGCATTCAGCCACTCGTACCCTATCTGGGCGTCGTGGGGGTATATACCCCCAAGCACGATCTGGTACCTCATCTCCCTTGCCAGGACCCTCATCTTCGACGAGAAGAACCCTGATCCGGGGCGGAAGTACCGCCTGTCCCGCCCCGTCTGTTTCCTATCCTCCATACCAACCCCCGCCGTCGAATAAGCAGCCTCGATAACCCCCTCCACCGCGTTGATCTGGTTCTGCAGCTCCAAGAGCCCCAACGACCGAGCCGGCTCGTCCCGACCGCCGTGGTTGCCCAGCCCGTGGCCCCCCCGGACGATCTCCCGCAGCACGTCCTCGCGGCCCGAGACCTGGTTGCCGACCACGAAGAAGGTGGCCCGGGCGTCGTTCTCGGCCAGCGCCCGCAGGATGTCGCGGGTGTGGGACGAGGGGGCGTCGTCGATCGTCAGCGCCACCAGCTTGCCGGCCGAGGCGGGGAGGGCGAAGGCCTCGAAGACCACGTCCGGCCAGCGGTGGGCGAGGTAGCGGATTAGGAGCCTCGGGGGCTTGTAGATTATGTAGGCTGGGAGGACGAGGGTGAGGAAGAGGAGGAGGAGGAGCAGGTGGAGGGCCATTCTTCGGCGGCGGGCGCGACGGCGGGCGTAGGGGATGCGGGGGAGGAATCGGGGCATTGAAGTGGGAGAGGGGCGTGGTTTATCGTAGTAACATTGTTGTGTGGTATCGCGTGTTCGAAGGTTGTGAGCTTGTGGTGTTGAGGATTGAGATTGAGGGTGAGTCTTGATGAAGTTGAAGCTGACGAGTCTTGGGAAGTTGGACAGGAGGTTCAGGATGGAAGCTTGTACCACTATGAGACCCCAGAAATCTGGGGTCGCTTATTTAGCGGCTTGGCGTGGGGGCGTCCCGTGTGCGATACAGAGGAACATATGAAGACATCTCGACACCCGACTACGATGCTGGACAGAACGGATTCATGATATTGGAACAGAGTCAAGTCAATGAAAAACACTGTCATTGGACCCCAGAAGACGATAATCAAAATCGAGGCAGTTATATACCTGTTACCCGTAGAAAAGCAGAATCCAGTAAATGATGCACCATCCCTTCCCCCCCTTTTCCAACGCCGGCAACTAGTCCACGCCCATGACATAGACGTCAGCCCATACTCCAAACGCCTCGTAACCGTGCAACATGCTATGCATCCCATGGTAACCAAGTGTATAACCCCATGATCAGACACTTCTATACTCGTACAATCACGCCATCTTCTTCAGCTCCTCCTTGTCGACCGTCTTGACAAACGCATGCGATAAGAAATGCAACCACACCTTGTTCGCCTTCTTCTTCTTGTTCTTGCCGCCATGCTTCTTCTTCTTCTTCTTGCTCTTGTCTTTATCCTTCTTATCCTTCTTCTTCGCTGCCTCAACTTCATCTTCACCTTCGTCAACCGACTCCTCATCACTGTCATCTCCGCTGTCGTCGTGGTCCTCATGCCCATCCTCCTCATCTTCGAACGGCCGCTCGTCTTCCACCAGCGTATCATTCACACCACCCACCACACTCAGCCCCTCTTCATAGCCCTTCCCCTTGACCGGCTGCGCCATCCGACTCGCCAACTTGACGAAACTCCCGACCGTCAAGTCACTCAACTTGTACAGCTTGTCGTCCTTGGTAGTGTACTCGACCTCGAACACAAACTTCCGCGGCCTCGGCTTCGACTTCTTGGGCTCCTTGTCTCCGTGCTTGCCCTTCCGCCATCTCAGCAGCCAGTCCGACCAACTGAAACTGCCCTCTGCTCCGGTCTTCTCGTCGTCGTCGTCGCCGTCGTCGGGGGTGAGGTCGTTGTTGATGTGCGTCAGGTTGGCGAAGTACTGCGTGTAGCCGGTCAGGGTCAGGGGTTGTGGCGAGTAGGCTGGTCCTGGAGGGGAGGACTTGGCCGGTGGCTGGGGGATGATGAGGTTTGGGTCTTTGGGTTTCTTGTCCTTGGGCTTCTTGTGATGTTTCTTCTTGCGGTTCTGCTTTTTGTCGCCTTTCTTCGAGGTTTCGACATCGGAGACGTCGCGTAGCTCGAGATCCATCCAGTCGTCTTCCTCGACTGTTGACAGACTCGAAGTACTTTGCATGGCCGAAGACCAGACGGCCGTGTTCTCGAGACCGGATATATTGTACTCTACTATCCGCAGCGTCGGGAAGTAGTTCGGGACGATGCTCGGACCGACCAGGGAGAGTTGATACCGCTCCGCCCAAGGATCCTTCGGCTTCTTCGATTTCTTTCCCTTCTTGTGACCCTCGTTCTCCGCACCGCCCGATGCCGGCTTGACGAGGTTCGACCATGCGATCCGCAGCTCCTGGAGGTAATCGGCCGTCGACACGGCCGACAGCTCGTCGTCCATCGCCTCCCTGGCGCCGAAGTCGGTAGACGACCCCGTGACGACCCCGATGTCGACATCCTTCGTGTCCTGCAGCAGGAAGTGGTCGATGTTCATGTGCCCGTAGATGCCCCCGGTCACCACGTCCCGGTACTGCTGCAGCCACAGGGTGTACTTCTGCCAGCAGGTCTCGTCCCACAGCTTCTTGCTCTCGGTCCGCGCGGGTGGGACGTGGCCCATCAGGAGGGCCTTCATGCCGCGGGAGCGCAGGAACTGCAGCTGGATCCGCAGCCACTCCATCTGCTTGTAGCCCGGCTCCGAGGGCGTGGCGCAGTCGTCGACGCCGGCGTTGCGGTCGAAGAAGTAGAGCGTGTTGAGGCTGAACACGGCCAGCTTGTTGGGTATGACTTCGACGTAGAACCAGCCGCCGAACTCGAAGCTGTGGCGCTGCTCCTCGGGTATGAACCGCCGCCAGATGTCGGTGTAGTACTTGAGCCACTTGTTCGGCCCGGGCAGCAGGATGTTGTGCGGGAGGATGTCGTTGTTGCCCAGCGTAGGGACGACGGGGATGGTCAGGCCGACGCCTGACGGGTCGGAGAAGGTCTCGGCGAACTTTTCGGCCACCATGCGGTTGGTACCCAGCACCTGGGCCGGGCTGCGCGGTATCTCCTCGTCGCTGTCATGGCGGGCGCTGTCGCCGGTCCAGATGACGAAGTCGACCTCGTCTTTCAGGTTGGCGCCGATCCAGCCGAAGGTCGCGTTGATGAGCGATAGGGGCGAGTCGCAGTCGGATGTCTCGGCGCCGTAGGTGCCTGCTGGGCCTTTGCCGCGGTGGCAGGCGTCTTCCTCCGAGGTTGAGGAGTGGACTTTGTAGAACTCGTCGGGGTGGAGGTCTGGCAGGGCGCGATTGTCAGTAATCTATTCCGGAACTACCTGAGGGGAAATTATACGGAGGGTTGCAGCGGACGCACCTGTGATATGCAGGAATCTGCCTTTAAGCTTCCGCGGGGCAGCTGCATGCGATTGGAGAGGATGCTGTTCCGGTCGCTGCAAGGGGCTGGCGACGATGCCGTGGCACAGCAGGAGGGCGATGCACAGTCCGCGCTGGAGGGCCATCATGCTGAAAAGACGGCAGCGGGAGGCGAATGTGTTGAAGAACGTTATGAGCGTCTTAGGTGTTTACATAGTCGTGTTGAGCGTGTCGTTTTCAGATGCTGAGACTCTCGATGTTGGAGGATTTGGATGGGAATTTTAGGTGTGTGTCGGTCGGGATTGCACCATAGACAGACGTAGACTGTCAGCCAACTATGACGAAATTGTGCATGGGCGTTGCAGCGGGTGACCTTGTGCAGAGTCTGTCTCGAATACTCTCGTCCAGATGGAAGAAAACCACAGACAATTGACAACGAAGGCTACGGCAAATAAGTGCAATATGAAAATGTGTATTAACCATGGGAATCACTGCTCTTATTATGTGCTTGGCATCTTTGAATTGCTA